ACGGATTAAATTAGACGATAACTCTCCGGTTGTGTGAGACTGTTTATTTCTCAAATAATCTCATTGAAAGACAAAAACAGTGGCGTGAAACTACGTTGTCAGAACTTCGTTTACTGACCGTTTTGGGTCATAAACAGCCTTGGAAAAAAAGAAGTATGGATATAAAGTAAAGAGTACAGAAACCGCATAATAGAGCAGAAAAATACAAAAATAAGCACATTAATATATACTAGAAGGTGCCGACAGAAGAAGACTACGTACACGATTCTCCCAGGAGACTTCAATACAGTTATCAGAAAAAGAATTATAACGAATTAAGGAAAAAATGAAAGAAATGATCGTGGAGGTCGCTCCGCAACTTTCGCTGAAGGCAACCACGTCTACGTCATGAATTCCGTTTTCGAGTAAACGACAGTGGACATAGAGAAGACGAGCCATTTTGCCAAGAGCATACCTTTGGCACACATCTGCGCGTTTCCACATCTGCGAACCACGCAACCTACTGCGGAAATTAACTCAGTCCGTCATAAAGTCCGGTAAGAAACGAGGCGAAACATTGGTACTGGTCACTCACTAAACTGACCAACTTGTTTACTTGCGTTGTGTGTAAATAAACCGTTTTATACATTTTCTTTTTTTATGTACTGACCCACATGAAGTTGATAATATCAGATGCGTCGGTCACGGTAACGCGAAAACATCATCTGCTCAGGGTCATACTAAAGGCCTTGACGCTCCGCAGTTGCGTTCGATGCGGCAAATGTAGAACGGCTCAGAAAAGCCCAGCTGTCGCCGCTTTGTGGATATAATTCTATCCAGAGGCTTTGGCAGACGAGTTACCATTAAGGAACCTTGAAATGAACGTCTTCCAGGGCATAGAAGGGACCAGTTTGTTGATGCCATCAAAACTGTCTTTAGAGCTTCAAGCCGGGCAGCAAATCAACGAGCATCCAACACATGAGGCCGTTTCAACAAGGCAGCCAATGAATGATTACAGGAGCCTAATGGAAAATGTTTGAAATGCCTTTGCAGAGTTGCAGAAGAAGCTGAGGCAAGACTATTAAAATAAGAGGAGAATTTGAATCAGAGAGGCTACGGAGTGGATGGAAAACCTGCAGGCGGTGGAACGAGATACTTGTCTGAAACAGCGAATTCCGAGTGCGCGAAGGCGAGGCAAGAACTTGATCACATTCATAAGAAGGTCATCTGCACAAAACTCTATACCATTGTTTACTCTTCATAAGCAAGTACGTTTCACAAGTTGCCAAACACCGCTTCAGAAGCCATTTCCTAAATTTTTCCTCGGACAAAGTGAGTGGGCAGTCAGAAGCGTCTGGACAAAATGGCAAATGTCCAAGCAAAGACCGCATGAAATCAGAAAACCTTAAAGCAGGAGGAACAGTGTTGTGAAAGGCGCTTGCCAAGCATTTTACGGTACACATCAGATAAAACAAAACGCCTAAAGTTTGGAAGACGTCAAGAAAGATTCTTTTCACAAAAAAGACTATGGAAACCTCATGAACCATTGACCAATTACACTAGTGTCACAAATCTACAAAGTTTTCACCGGCGTCATTTTCAGCTGTAGTCGTAACGGCCTCGAACTAGTCACAGGTGAGGAACAAACCGGTTTCGTAAGGGTATTCTATCATAAACTATATCCATGTCATTCAGTATATGACATACAAGTGTAACGAATATCAGTTGCCACTCTGTCCAGCTTTTATCGACTACAAGGAGATCGATTCAACAGAATTAACGGCTGTGCATGAAAATGGCATAAGCCCGATTACGTCAACCTGGTCAAGGAACTTAACACCGGTTGCACGACTGATATCTAGCTGTTCAACGAACTATGTCGCATCAGTACGAATGGTGGAGTGTGCCAAGAGGACATCACCTCACAAGCGATCTTCGCCGCGGGCTTCGAGCCACTGTTCAACCGACCAAACCGGCGTAAGGGCATCAATAACGATGTATAGCAGTTAAGGTAGTTGTTGATTTTGGGCAACTGCATCGTCTTCACACGAGACACTATGGAACTCCAACAGAATATCGAGCAGTTGCAAAAAGATTCTCTCACCATTGGCTAAGAGGCTAACCACACCAAGACGAAATGCTGCGGAACTAGGAAGGCTCCAGGGCTCTAATCACGCGAGGGGCGTGCGAAAAACTCAAAGTATCACCAGCAATGAGTACTTCGGCTATCAGACATAAAAGATATGAAGTGGTTATATGGAAAAATCAGCTGAAGAATGAAAGCGGCATCGACAAGCTATAATCATATTAAAAAAACACCAATACTCTACAGTGAGCTGCCTATGCTGAATGAAGGTCTCCAAGATTATGCCATAAACTCGTTTTCCGCGATTCTTATCCATCAGGCATTGACATGACATAAGACAGATGGGCAAAGTATAAAATTTAGCAGTGCATATGGCTTATAGCGATGCCGCAATTCATTAAACACGATTGAGCACTGAACTGCACCTCACTTAATTTCTTCAGACTTTACCGCCTTCCAGACCATCTCTTCGCTCCTTAATAATATGTATCCGCTTCTAATATGTATAATCAAATTTAATGTTTTAAAATTAATCTCCGTAATTTGTTTGTTAAACATTCTCATATTCATTCTTTCTTTGGTGCATTCATTTGTTCTTTCGTTCGTTCACTGATGCACACAAATCTTCTTGGCTTTCGGACTGCACTGTTACCGTTTACCGTTACCGCGTGATTTCTAGCAAAGAGTCTTGTTTCTTTATTCGTAATCACGTGACGAGGTCATCACTGTCACAATCGTTTGATATGGAGAAAGTGCAGCTTCTTCTTCTTCAGATTCAAAGATTTATTAGGTTTAAATCTTTCCCTCGATGCGCACTCCTTGTACCTGCGAATAAAAGGGCTATGTACTTTTGCGTAACAATATCGATGTCTTCCCTACCAATGCGCCATAATATCCTCCGCAGATAATACGAATATTTTTCAACGATGAGATGTTCGAATATTTATGGTGTCTCGGCAGATAGAGTGGCGAATCTTTCCTTTCGGTTTCGGTGTTTTATCGCATCTGTCGTAGTTTGCTAGCCTCTGTTCACCGCCGAAACCAAAAATTGCCAATGCAATTGGCAGCACTGACCAATTTTCAGCACGTGAGGCGAATTGACACTAAAGAAATATCCACTCCACTGGTGAAACCTGAAACCAGACAGCCGATCGGCAGCCTTTCATGACCTTGAAACTGATATCGCAATGACAATAACAGACGTCATGCTATGTTCATAGTGGGACGCTTTAAACGAACACTTTGACACCATCGCTGTATTAAAATTTTTGACCTTGACCATTTAGATTGTAGAGTTATTTTCTCTTCCTTCTATAACATCATCCGTCAAATACTGTGCGTCTCCTGGTCAGCATGACAAAACAGTGCCATTGCCATCCTTTACGTAGGGGGTAAACGGCATGAGGTAAATATTTCATCATGCTTTGATTGACGATGAATGCAGACGACGGTCCATAGCGATTCTGCAGGTTCTTACAATCTGAATCATCGAACCACCTTGAAACATCTAGACTTCTCACCGAATCTTACTGTCAGGTGAGCCAAGCCTTGAGCACCGCTGATCTGCCCACTCCATGAAAATATCGCAATTTTTGTATTTGATATATTAGTACCTGACAATTGACAACAGCAATTAATTGATCCTACTTCAAAATAAACGAGATCACTAGCGTCAGTCTAATGCGATTTGTCATCACAAACATCCATATATTTTAGTCATGGTCGCACGTGAACTGATGTCTTCCGAATGAGCGCTTCTTGACCCTTGAGTTTTACTCAATCTGAAGTGCATCGGGATCAATCCTTTGTGCGATGTGATCTGCCCACTGTCGTTTTCTGCCTTGTGAAACCGAGATTATATCCTGCATTTCCGTGCCTCTCTGCAGCTGTTTCCTCACTTTGGATCTTATCCCTGTTGGAACCTCCCTAGCATCCTTCTTTTAATAGCAAAGAATTCACAACATATTGCTTCAGGCCGGTAGAGCGCCGAAGTCAGAAATAATAGGTTCCGAGTTCAAGCGTCATCGAGCGGGGTCACTCGCTCTTCTTCACTTCGAGGTTCATAAACAAGTGCCACTCTGTGCGAAGCAACGAAGAGACTACACGCTACAGTTTCGAGTTTCGACATAGCTGTGGATACTGCCTATAAAATGAACCACTCCTAGCTAGGATCAGTACCGACTATTAACATCATAAAAGAAAGGGCGCCAAAATGGCCCAATCATGAAAGTGTGAAAGACCGACATTCCTACGGTGAAAAACGATCCATTCCTTTCCGTCTTTCCATAACCCGTTGCTGCCCTCTGAACAATCCTTCATCATTTTTCGTTAGTGTCCAGGATAATAATAATCATAATTAAGACTCGTGGTTTCAAAAAGGCTAATTGCCGACATCTCTCTATTTCCGGACTGATAATTAGTGAAATATTTAGAAACTTTAGAAATCTACAAAGTTCTGGAACCACGACACTGGCGAAGAATGGCTGCAAACGGAAGAACAAACATGGTGACATTCACGGCTTTTAAAAGTAGGGGGAACAACAATTGCTACGAAGCGTCGAGATCGTAAAAGGAAAGAGATCAAATGACAGGTGAAAAAAATGTTATTCAAGAAGCGAGCCGCCAGCATACGAAATGGCGCCGTACTTGCGCGACGTTGGCGTTTCAAAACACGACCTCGTGGAAAGATCACAGAGGCAGATCTGACAATGAGTGAATGTGTACTACTGAAAAGTGAAATGCAAAATTGCACTCATTTATGTACGAATAAATCAATGACACGCGTCTGCCATTTACACAGTCGTAATGGGTTGGAGTTGGCACTGAGTTTGTTAGAAATGTGAAGTTTGCATCTGTCATTCGGATTTTTTCGAATGATTTACAGTTTTTTCATAGATTCAAAGAAGTGCTTTCGATTTCCGTTTCATGTTTCACGTCATGGTCGCGTCGGAAGTATAAGAGTCGACTTTCCAACACTCAGACTCTTGTTGAACTCGACTGAAACATGATCCTCTTGACCGCATTGATGAATGCTACATTCGACTAAAAGCCAGAAAAAAATCATAAATTGGCCTTGAATGCCTCTCCCCGTCCCGAGGAGAGGCATTCTTCCTACAGCGAGTACAATCGAACAACCTTAATCTCTGCAACTGATAACCAAGTTATTGTCTAGGTTAAGTATCCAGCTCTCTCCAGGAACAAGACTATACATTATCGGACTCATAATGAGAGATTTATAAAATTTATCTGGTTTATGGATGGCATTATGATTCGGCATGATAGGCCATATTAAGGTCGCTAATGCCTGGAAGGCCTTTTCAAATACTAAATTTTTGCGAAATGTGAGAAAACCAAATTTGACGTTAGCTGCGCAAGTCCAGTTTTGGGTACACTTAAGATATCAAAGCAACGTCTGTTAGAAACAACCATTTCCTATCCAAACGAGCGATGAGGCGAAGGAACTACACGGCATTATCTGAGATAAACTCTCGGTTTCATGCATCCAGTCATGTCTGACATTTTCCATATGATATACGCAAACATGCAGATAAGGTTGTTACACGTTTTCGCCTGAAATACTGTTTAAAACTTTAAAGCAAGTGTTCGGTATTGGGTTCAAACAACATGCCAAAATTTCGTAACTTATCATTTTATGTAAAATATGCATTTCATACGACATGAAAAGAAGCTCTGATTTCGCATGACTTTCAGATGTGGGCAGTACGCATTTTCGCTATTGCATAAATGACAGACATGAACTATGAAGATGCAGCTGTCTCGCCAGTCAGAACCACCAGGGCGGAAACTCATTGTTCTTAGCCTGAAGAAATAATGAATTCTAAAAGTGCATGGATGTAAAACAGTAGGAATAATCCGATAAGTGGATGGATGCATGATTAAATGGGTGATTACAAAGAATGGGATCATAGATGGTGGATGAATCAACGAATGAATTAAATAATGGATGAACAAATAAACAAGGCAACGGATGGTTGGAAGGATGTGCGGAAAATGGGAAGTAAAATGGGAGATGAATGACTAATGATTAATTGAGTAAATAAAGGAAGGAACGAAAGAATATATGGATGTATGAAAGTTCGAATAAACGAACGAACCAGTGTGGGGACCACATGCAGAAATATTCAAGGGTGAAAGAATGACAGAATACACGAATGAAAAAAATTAACGGACGAACGAATGAATGATTGCATGGATGACAGATGAATAAACGAACAGGTGCATGCATGAAGGTGCGAAGTGATGTAATAAATTTCTGAACGGAACGACGGATGAACGAATGAAGGAAGGTGCGGACGAAGGAACGAATGATGAAAAAATTAATTGAAGAATGATCGAATGGTTGTCTGGATAACGCATGAAGGGAAGGGTGAATGAATGAGTAATTGATTGAACGAAAAAGTGAATGAATAAAGAACTTAATCAATGAACGAAAGAACGAACCATCCAGTGAACTAAGGATATTCGTAAAAAATATAAAAACTGGCCGATGAAACTGCGGATGAACGAATAAAGGAAGGAGTGAACGAACGAACGAACAAGAAAATAGTTGTATGGATAAATGAACGAATGAGCTAATGAAGGAAGGAAAGAATCAGCTAAAGGATAAGTCAAAAATGGACCATTGAATCACTGAATTAATTGAGGTACGAATGAACGAATCAGTGAATTCATTAATGTAAATTAATGATTGGAGGATGGACGAATGGAAGAGCAAACGAATGTTCGAAAGAATGAATGAACGAGTGTGTGGTTTAAAGGACAAACGAATGGATAAGTGCATAAGGCTAAATTCATAAACGGATTAATGATTAAACAAACAGATGAATAAGCAAATATATAAACGGACACGTAAGTTTCGTGTTTCTGATCTTAATACTTTTCGCGCTAAAGTACGTCAGGAAGTCAAAACTGCTCGTTTCATGATCAATGCAGACATTCCGCAATGTAATATTTTAACACAGCATGTATTCATGTTCCATGACGAGGATAGGAATTCGCACAATTCACCGAGTAGACTGAGGTACGTTTTTTACATTGTTGCTAACGAATATAAAATTTGGTGTAAATGTAAATGATTCTTCGTAACCGGCAGCCGTGAAGCAAAGAAAACAGAGTTTCAAGTTTCTCGTCGACCGAAAAATTTTTTTCCGCCAACCTCATCGAAGGAGAATTGCTTTCGCAAAGTCAATCATTTTTCTCTGAAATTGAATTGAACTAACAGCTGGGATCTTTTAATAGATTTCAGGCTGCAATAAAACGAACTTCTTGAAAGTTAAGTAATTTTCCGTTTGACTCATACGGAGACATTATTAATGGTAAAAAGTCGAAACTCGTTTCGGGTCCGTCATGGAGAGAGGGAAGGCGTGCCGGCTTTCGAGTGTCCACATGGACGAAATCTGTGAGTTCGGCTTTGCTCTGAAGGTAGCGGCGCCGGTAGTCCGTCAAGTACCCAGCATCGCTGGAGGTTGTCACGACGTTTTGTGCGTTAGGCTACGGGTTTTGTGGGAAGAAAAAGTTTCATTTCGAGAGGCTGATGATGATTCATGAACTTGGTACGCCATGCCGGTCTTAGGTTTAAAACTTGAAATTCAAGAACTGGAAGTGGGTAAAATACGAGTATTTAAAAGTGATTAAAGTAGCGAGAACCGAAGCCGAAACTTTAACCTCTGCCATCGAGGATTCGCCCATAACTGCATGACACGAAGCCATCAAAACATAGCGGACTTGCTGTTATTTTCCTCGCCGGGATCGGTAAGGTCCGCTTCCACGAATGTGGGTGACTGATGAGGGCCGAATTGGCACCGCAGCTTGTCCGTGGTCGGCGTATTACAGCTTGAAAG